TTTCCTCAGGATGGTTTCACTCAAAGAATTCTTGTTGGAGCTCACTCACTCTTTTCATTCAAACATGTCCTTGTGGTCAGAATCTTGAGGACAAGTACAGGTTATTTCGTGTATCACAGTTTTGCCATTGTGAATGTGAAGAAAGCTTTAACAAATTAAGRATGGTTACCCACTGGAAATAAGATCTTACCACAACACATGACCCTTGTCACCTTGATAAGAAATGTCCCTAAGCCTGTTGTGGGTAGAACATAGATCCCACACCAGCCATGGATCTACCACGAGACAAAACACCACACAAACTGAACAGTTGTACAGATTTCCCCAAAACTCTCCGTGAGTTCTGTTCTCTCGTTTCTCCCTCTAGCAGATGCTACATCTGTTCCTTTGGCAGTTGCTGGCAGACAAGACAAGCCCCAGTGCCAGCTAATACTATATGATCTGCTGCTGAATTAATTTTCCACTTAAAAATTAAATTATGGGCCAKATCCTCATTGGATTTAATACAGCTATCACCTATTAAGCATCTGATGGTCTGGCCTTGTGTAGAGATTATTCTTCCTCTCTTTTTATAGCAAGAATACAACCAAAGAGTTAGATTTTAATCTGATGKGTGAAGGCAGTGAAAATATTGATTGTTTTGCATCTGATGCATCCATCATGAGAAATTACAACTTTTTCAAAAAGCTGGAGAAAAACATGTCATTTAAAAAAACAAAGAAAAGAAAGAAAGGTTGTAAAAGATACTATAAATCTTTTATTTCTTTTGAGTTACTATGCAATACCCTTCATTTTGAAGGAAATGKTACAATCAATGATGTGTACTTCTTTCTCAGGAAAAGAAGATATTTGCACTAACAATTCAACATTTACTGACAAAAGACAGCTTACAGAAAACGCTCATGGTGGGAAAAAAAAAATCTTATTTGTGATTACACATCTTATTGTGGATGATTTCATGAAGTGTTACAATGTCAGGAATTTCAAGTGTGCACTTAAAGAAAGCTTCTAATCCAGTATTAATGCAAAGGAATTTGAACCATCTAAACCATCAGTGTTCCAAATCACCCTGAYTTCTTCCTATTCACAGTTAAAAGAAAAAGCCTAATCTGAAAGTCTAAGCCCATGATACAATACTCCTGGCCTTATCACTGCACACTGATTTTTAAGAGTAGTCAAGCATACTCAATTAACAGATTTCTTACAAATAGAAACCGCTGTTGGAAACAATGTATTTCTTACCTCTACTTCGTTACTAGTYTCTGATCTGTTACACAAAATTAAAATTTTGCTTTCAAAAAATATTTGTTCCTACATGGCTGTTAGCTTTATGGTTGGTGCTGTTAATTGTCAGAGAAGCACAGGTGGGAAACCACTTGACAACACATTTCACATACCCAAGGACAGACCTTTGGTAAAACTTAACCAAAGGAGAAGAGWAAAAGAAAACCACCATTACATTCAAAGTCTGAAATAATCACATAGCATCACCTATTRTAGTACTGAGTGAGACAATGAAATCAAATGAACAAAAGGAGTTTGCCTATGATTTCATTTATACAGAACAATTCAAAGCTTACTTCCATAGWCTAGGGTCCTTCAGTCTGAAGAATATATTTTTCCAAGTAAGAAAATACAGTTTTTGAAGTAGCTTTTGGGAATTTTCCCTGCCTACTCTACAACTGCCTACTCTGCTCTCCAGATGAGCTCTAGAGCTGCTGTAATCAATATTCTGCATTCACACAAAATCAAGGATAACAAAATAGTCTTCAGTTTATGTCTTTGCTCACTGCCATGGAAGGTGAATGTCTAAATTGTGTTTTTAAAATTACTCAATCAAYGGATAATTGTAGGTTTTACTACAACGCCTTTTCCAAGACATTATTTGCATCAAACACACCAATACTCCAGGGAAATAAAACTGCTCATCTACATTTCCTAGCTGGAGCTACATTTACACATCTGGGGCTCAGCCTTGCCAGCCTTCACATGTGCATATTGATATTCACAGCAGTAGGTATGCCCAAATGAGGAAATTCATATAGATGATTAAGTGTTTGCACAATCAAAGGGCTTTTAAAACAAATTATATTAACTTTAAATGTTAAAAACACAAGGGGAAGTTCAAGCAAGACAAGACAAAGATACCAGAGAAGTCTGCAGCAGATCACCAGCTTMGCTTACAACTGCTGTGCTCTCACCAAATCAGTGCAGCTCCTGGATTTCCAGGGGGAAACTGAGGCCAAAGAATGGGCTGGGTTCCATGAGCTCTGTTTGGACAAGAGGCCCTTTGAGTAACAGCTTTCACTGTACTACTTGTTCTCCCCTGTTGATTATGCAACCTCAGATCCTCCACACTCCCATCAGAGACCTCACATTGAAATTCCAGACCCTCATTCACAAAGAAATGTAAATATACACTTAATTTCAAGCACAGGAATAGACTTAGTGATTCTCAAATGTCTCCAAGTAGGTAAGATCTACTCAAAACTTTAAACTCAGTATAGGCTTAAGACCTTTGCTGAAGCACAAACTCTGCAGAAGGACCAYACTTGCATTTCTCTACATTAAAGCAGCAGATGCAGAGAAGAGCACTTTTATCTACTATTTTCCCTCTCTTTTGTGATCTATGCAAAAGTCCTGAAGTAGACACATACACAAAAGAGTAAGTTTTCCTGGGAGACCTTTTTTTTAAATCAAGCTCCAGAAATCCCAGCTTACTCTGCAGACAGCAACTGAGCAAAGTACAGCAAAGACAAGRAACCAAGCAGTTGTGATGTGCTTCTAAAGCAATTTCTGTTCTCACATACAGGTCATTACAGGTCCGTGGCTTTAAAACCAGACTGGTTAGAAATGTGTGCAGTGGTGTTTAGTAGCACCTATTAAATAACACTGCCTAATCAACAAGTAGGGGAAAAGGACCTGCCTGTTAAAGATTCAACAGTTGCACCTTTATCTGCTGGAATAAGAAATCCCTGTATGGAGGTAGCCCTCTTTCAGACAAAATAAAAAAAAAAAGAAAGCCAAATTTCCCTCCCTAATCTACTTCCACACATAATGGAATGCCAGAGGACAATAAATTCCMAAACATAGCTTGCAGGGAAGTTTAAAATTCCAAGTATAAAACACCTGTGTCCCAGGTGTCAGAGGAGCACGGAGGTTTTATAACACAGCAGAATGCATGCCAGACTCYGCTGTGAGGCAAGCTCCCTCTTTGCTCTCTGCCCTAGCAAAGCACTGCAAGCTCTGGAATTCTTYGCTAAGGCCCTGTGCCTGTAGGGGAATTTATCCCAAAAGGCRTGACCGGTACAGAGAAGCACCAAGACCAGCACAAGACAAGATTTCAATTGGACAAAGAAGCTTTGCTCTCYATTCCCAAGCAGATTTGGTCCTTTTTTTATTAAAACAAAAAAGTGTGGAAAAAAGAATTAGAAAACAAAGCCAGACTATTCAGAATATCTCAGAAGGAGAGAAATGGCTAAGTGTCATAGTTCTGATGTTTCAGACACAAGGGAAAAATATTTTCACAACTAGTTTACTGTTTAGTACCCTGTAGATACATARTACTTGACATTTATAGCAGTTTCTGTACTTTATGACCTAGAATATCCTTTAGATCATGAATGAAAAATAAACCCATTCAGAGGACTGGAAAATAACGTGCATAACAACTTACTTTCAAATGCAAGGTTATGAAGGGTTTTTTTAAACTTTCAAAAATATCTCTAGGAAAATATTATTTKACATAGCTATATTACACAGTGAAATAAACTTTGTTATGTACAAGGTTTCAGTATGAAAGAAACCACAGCTAGACATTTGCTCATGGTCTAGATAATCTGTTGTCTGGTATCAGTCAGTAGAACAACAGAGAGACTCTCCTTCACTCTTCTGCAGACTGTCTCAGTGATCATTTCAGCTTTTAGTAGTTACCAGTAGTTGTATAAAACCTGTGTGCAGACATCCACATACTAACCCTGTCACAGTCAGACAYGGGTAGATACAATATCAAAACAAGCTTGGACATCTGCTCGACAACCACAGTAACCTGAGTATAACTCAATTGCATATTGGTGAAAAAAATAACAGTGCAGGCACCTGAGCTATAGCATTCTAAAGGAGCTTGGTGTTAAACCTTCCCTTGGATTTGGGTGTTTCAAAGGCCAAAATGAGGGCATGGGAGCCATTAACAAAACAGTATACGGTGTATTTGTATAACCCTGTAAACTTTTTTCCTTCTAAAGTGGGGATGAAGTAGTCTTTCACAGTCTTTTTGCTAGCTTATACAATTCAGGCAGAAAACATGACACCACAATCTACTTGGCTCACATTGGTGAAGTTGCTTCATTAGTTCATAGTCTGAACTAATCAAAAGCCTGTATCTACCTATTCTTAAACGACAAACTTTGCTCCCGTCACAGGGCTGGAAAGGACACGGAGTACTTTGCTATTTGTGGTATAACTGTAAACAACTGCGGGGAAGACTGTATTAATTATGCTTTAAGTTTACATCACACTGTTAGTTTCCATTATTTAAATGAACTCAAGCTTATCTTTGTTCACATCACCATATTGTGCTTTAAGGGGAAGGAATTTCACATTAGCAACTGCCTCCAAATCAGTGCTTGTTCACACACCCCAGATTCCAGGACAAAGATCTGACAGTGATGCCTGTGTGGGAAACCAGTTCAACAGTTGAAAAAAAGTTCAGGGAATAAGCAGGGCAGGCAGCCCTGCACTCCCCCTCCTGAGGGACTTGCACAACTTTGGAGGCATGTGCTCTCCTCTAATGCTATAGCTCAGCTCATACCTTAGAAACTGGCAAAAACAGGGAACATGAAATCCCTAACAAAGAGGAAACTGCTTTGGAACACCCAAACCCCCCTGCCTGCGATGTCTTCCAGCCTGTGCTCCCTTCCACCACCCTCCATCACATCTGTGCTCATTGGGGTGCAGAACCTGTGACATGCTCACAGACAGAAGCACTCAGTCAAGAGGGACAGCTTACTCAAGACATACTCTTACACATAAGCAACCTGCTTCTGCTCCTCTGTGTRTACTACAGGCATAATCAGCTCTGCCATTTGCTTCAGGGGAAAGCCAAGGCAGCCCTGACACACCTCAGCCTCTGCCTGTAGGATTAACAGCACACACCAGAGTATAACTGTGGCAACAAACTTCACTCCCTGGGACCTGTTGACAATAAACACAACTTCTGTCCCCAAAGCCAAATGCTGATGGCAAAGGAGAAGGTYCCCCAGCCCACCTGCAACTTCCTATCAATTAAGAAGGCACCAGGCACATCAAACCCATTTCCTTAAAAACAGTGGAGATTTCTGCCTTACACCCACCAAGCCTTGCACCAGGCAAGAGGCAGCTCRTTGCAATACCAACAGAAGCCACAGCTGAAGAGAAACAGTAGCAGAGAAGGGAAAACGATATCCTCATGCTCAGAGCTACATGGTCACATCCTGAAAGTTGTTGGCTACTTCCGAATGGTATTAAATACTATTAACTTCTGCTGATAAGYAGATGTCAAAGGCATTTAGCATCTTGTAGGGTCAGGCCTACTAGCAGATGGTTGAGGGAAAGGCTATGTGTGAACACGGCAGAGGAAGAGAAAGAAGTGGGAGAGGAGAGGGGTAGAATTGCCCTGAGTTTTATCCTCTACAAATAAGTCAGGGGTTTTTTCATCAAGCACTGAAGGAGTTAAGCACTAAAGCACAGACACTTAATCAGCTTTCCCCCTTCCTTTCACATGTGATTGGAATGAAGCTGCACCGAAGCAGCCCAAAGGGCTTATAACAGCTCAATTTCGCAGCCTTCAGTTTTAATCCCCATCACCCAGGCTAAGCAGTATGGTAGTGCTGAGCTGCTACTCCACAGCAGTCTGAGCACCTGGGTGACGATGGTCTTCCTCCTCTTCRTCCTCCTCCTCTGCAGCCTGCAGGTGGCTGGAGAGCTCCTGGATCACAGCAGCCCGACCAATCTGGTCATTTCTCCTTTTCTCCATAATCAGATCCTCCAGGCTCTGAAACTCCAGCGTGTGGCTGCGCTTGTCACCCAGGCGGATCTGCAATCGGTAGGGCTGTTTGCCTATGCGCAGCTCCCCGCCGATTTTAAACTCTCGCTTGCCGTATCGGCACCAGGCAGCAAAACACTCCGAGTTTCTCCAGCTCAGGTCCCGATCCTTGCAACCCACCTGCTCCAGGGCATTGCGCACCACCACGGCMGGGCTGAGGGGTTTGTAGCGGTACAGCTGGTTGGCAATGCGGCCCCGTCTGCCCTGGCTGGCGTCGGTGAGGAAGCTGTTCACCACCTCCAGCCGATGAAGGTGCACAACTTGAAAATCCCCGACGTAGACCACCCAGTGCGGATACTGGGCTTGGCACACAAACTCCACCAGGTCACCCGGTTTACACCTGTTCAGGAGGTTCTCTGGGGTGTAGGTGCTCAGATGCCCCCCACCTCCTTCATCACCCTCCTCTAGCTGCGTGTCCTCCTCTGAAAAGCTCTTCTGGTAAATACACTCATCCCGGTAATAGACTGAGCACTCCACCTCGTGCAGCTGGGGATCGTAGGGCTGCAGGGCAGGGTTCTCACCCCCCAGGTCATGCACCGAATCCTGCTGCTGCTCCAGCTCATCATCGTCATTTGAAAAGATGTAGGAGACCCCGATCCTGGGTCCTTCATCTCTGTCCACACCTGTCGGGTCGGCCGTGGGAACTTCCTTGTAGTTGAGATGCGTGAGCTTCTCCACCTGGTTCCCCATGCCCGCTGCAACGACAGACACACGGCGGGGCCATGAGGGCGGGAGCGGGGGAGCGGCCCCAGGGAAGCAGCGGGGCATGAGCGCGGCTCCCCCCTGCACAGGCACCCAGCTCTCCCCGCTCAGCGCAGTCCCTGCCAGCGCCCCGGGGCTGCGGGAGCTTCTCGGGGACGGGGGGAAGGGGGGACGCGACACTTCCCTACCTGCACGGAGGAAGGCGCGGCGGCACCACCACCTGTTAGGCGGCGGCGASGAGGAGGAAAGAGGCGCAGGAGCCGCCGGAGAGCGGGCAGGCACCGAGCCACCTGTTAGAGGGGGGCTGCGAGCGCCTGGGGAGCTCGGGAGGTCCGGGCTGGGGCCGGCCGAGAGCGCACCCGCCCGCCGCCCAGGTGAGCCGCGCCGGGCC